AGGTTTGGACTCGATGAGAAGTTCCTGAAGGTTTGGACTCGATGAGAGAAGATTTCTTTCAAAGCATTCATCTGTATTCGTTCCTGCGAGGCGTTGCAGCTGAACAACGTCACAAATCTCCGGTGCGAAGCCTCGGGGACGTTCGCACTTCTGCAAATAGCTCCGTCACCTTGTTGCCAGGCAGTAGCCATCGCCGTGGAAACGGTGGAGGAACGAGTATTGTTGTCAGAAGGACCGTTAACGATGGGATGCTGTCAGCTGTTCGTGAGCTGCTGCTCTCGATCAGCTGACAGAAATTACTGGAACTTCTTGTGAAGCCATCGAGCTTGAACTCCGTCTAATTCCTGATGACTCGTTAGAAACCGTCTTTTCAACGAATGGAAACCCAAAGAACACGAGTAAACCTTGATCACCAAGGAGGTACAGCCACAGCAAGAATCCAAGAAACTAGTCTTATATTTGTCCTCGTTCTTTTTCACCATTACACTAGTCCCTCGTTTATCATGGGGTTTAGGAGACCACGCCCCTTTCTACAAGGAAAAACAGTGAAGTAGAGATACAGTAATCCAAGTTCAAGTTTCACTCCAATCTCCCACCTTCTGCGTAAATAAACAATATAAATACTGTAATATTTAAATAAACAAATACTGTAATATTTAAATAAACAAATACTGTAATATTTAAATAAACAATATAAATACTGTAATACAGTAGTTCCTTGTTTATCGCGGGTCATCCGTACCCTGAGGACCCGCGATAAGTGAAAACCTGCGAAGTAGGAATAGTAGTACAAGTAGAAAGTAGTTTATTTTAGTATATATATATATATATATATATATATATATATATATATATATATATATATATATATATATATATAGGCATTTTAAACCCCTCCCACACTCTTGCAATATACCAAACAATGTCTCTAAACGCTCGACAAGAGCGCGTCATGATTTCAGCTCCCAGCCATCTGCTGCTCTTGGCCACGCCCACTTCTCTGCTGCAGAGCTCTGGCACGCTGCAGGAAGGAGCTTCTCTCTGCAGCTGTGGGCTGCACACAGGTGCAGCAGGTGTTAAATAATTTAAAACAATTTATTTTAAATAATTCCGTGCCGATCGTGTGGCTCATCCATCAATCAGCCAATTGTGTGTCGCGTACACTCTTAGTTTGAAAAACCACAAAAGAGCAAGTCCGTGGAAGTCGAACCGCGAAGTAGCGAGGGACTACTGTATACGATTAATCGAGCAGGGCGAGGAAAAGGTTTCAGGGGTAATAATCACGGCACCGGACATATTCCCCGTACCACCATGCACACGGTGGGTCTTCAGAGACCGATGAGCTCACCGGATATCGTTTTATTTCAGGTTTGGAACCAGCAGAAGGGGCTAGCTAGCATCTGGGTGTGCTACGTGAGAGGCGGAGCTTGAATACGTTGGTTGAGACTCGCCTCGTTCTAGAAAAATGAACAACTCTGCAACAACAAAACGCAGACGAGTGAAGGTGAAAACTGGGGGGGCATCGGCACCGCTGGTTAAATATTAAAGTATTCTCTAAGACGAGTCAAACAGAACAAAGTTCTCTCATGACATTTAAAAAGACATTAAAGTTAAACACGAACTGTGCCGTTTATTAATGATTATGGTGAAGGGAACCACAAGAGAGGACCTGGAAGTGTCAGTCACATGTAAACAAAGTGAATACGTTTAATGGATTTAGGATTTCATCCATCCATCTTTTTTGGCGCTGCGTTTTGTTCTTTAGTTCTTTCTTTCGTTCTTTCTTTCTTTACTTCTTTCTCCCATCCTTTGGAAATGTTTCTTCTTTCCTTTTTTCTCTTTTGTTCTTTTTCTTTCGTTCCTTCTTTAGTTTTTTCTCGTCTTTGGCACTGTGTTTCGTCTTTCTTTCTTTCTTTCTTTCACTTTTGTTCTTTTTTATTTAGTTCTTTCTTTCCTTCTTTCTCCCTTTATTTGGCACTGTTCTCTCTCTTTTGTTCTTTCTCTTTCGTTCTTTCTCCCTTTCTTTGGCACTGTTCTTTCTTTCCTTTTTGTTCTTTCTCTTTCACTGTTTTTCTTTCGTTCTTTCTCCCTTTCTTTGGCACTGTTCTTTCTCTTTTGTTCTTTCTCTTTCCTTCTTTCTCCCTTTCTTTGGCACTGTTCTTTCTTTCTCTTTTGTTCTTTCTCTTTCGTTCTTTCTCCCTTTCTTTGGCACTGTTCTTTCTTTCTCTTTTGTTCTCTGTCTTTCACTGTTTTTCGTTCGTTCTTTCTCCGTTTCTTTCGCACTGTTTCGTCTTTCTTTCTCTTGTTCTTTTTCTTGCGTTTTGTTTTCTTTCGTTCTCTCTCTTTTCATCCCTCCCACATTCCTCCCTCCCTCCCATGTCGCTGAACTGGCAGCTGAGCAGGAGTTGTAAACGGGCTTTTTGAAATCACAATCAGTTTCCCAAATCTTTGTCTTTGACATGTGGCGTCTCCGGCTCTGCTCCTCTGAGCCCAGTTACTGTCACAGGGCAGCTCCCAAAGCCAAACTCGTCCCTCCACGTGAGAAATGCGATCGCACTTCGACGCGCCGCAGGGATTTCCAGTCGCTTCAGAGCCGGCACGCTTCAGATTCCTCCTGGATGTCGGGGTTTAGAAAGCGAAGGCCAGGACTGAAGCTCGGCTGTGTTTCTCATTAAAATGGAAATGTCAAAGCAGCATTCAGAACTTTTCTTTCAATTCGTCGTTCCGCACAAGTCGGACCACCGCCTGAATCTTGATCAGGAGCTCAGAGGGATTTGAAGGACAAACCTTCAGAGCCATTTCTGAGTCTCTGTTCTGGTTTTAGGCCAGTTTCTACACATGTACTCTGTTATTAATAATTTAACATGTTAGGTGCTTAACTTCTAATTTCTCAAGTATTTATAGATTCTGGCTCAAAGTTTTATGGACAATTAAATTATTGCAGCAGATATTACTGTAAGACAAAGTCATATCTATGATTTATAAAGTGTGGATGTGTGATAGTGTTGGGACTTTTCCTTTTCTTAAAAGTTGCATGTTTGTAAAGACAAGATTGTTGTCCATCAGTTATCTGTATGGTTGTTAGCAAAATATCTTATGAACCAATGGATGGACTTTAAACTCTTGAGGATTAAACTTGAGAAGAGCCCAAAGTCTCGGACCCCTTCAACGTCCGTTCCTACATGCCGACTCAGCCAATGAACAGCCAGAAGACCCCTTTGATGCCGTTCGTCAGAAAATCCCTCCAGAGAGACCGGGGTCTTAAACCGCCCCTCCCTCTCTGAGGGTTTAAGGTGGAGGCAGGAAGGAGGGCAACTCTTGAGAACTTAAGTTCAGCTCAGCTCGTGCGTTTTCCTTTACTGAAGTGGCTCATTTTTCATAAAACGATGGACCGTTATATAGAAGATCTTGAGCCAAACCAAGGTTTATGTCGTGTACAAAACCCAGCAGAATACATCTAAAAGAACTCACTTGGACTCAGGAGACACCTGGGAGCTTTATAACCTGAAAATGAAGTGAGACACTGACTTCCATTTCTGGTGTGTGGTTGCATCTATGTGTAAGTAATGTCACTGTTGAATGTTGGGTTGCTACATCAAAATCCAAAATGGCCACCACCGTATATCTAAATATAATGGTGTATGTAAACTGGCCATTGGTTTAGGAGTTTAGGAGAGTGGTAGTGCAGAGCTCAAATCCCCAGGCTCTAAACGTGGGTGACAAAGGTGAAACACCCACACCTGCCTCCACCCTAATTTGCTGCATATGGGCCATTGAACGAGGCCCTTATTCTCCTTACTGTGCTCCACACACGAGGGCTGCGGTAGCTCAGCGGTCAGTGGTTGCTTGAGGAAGGGCGTCTGGAGTAAAAACAAGTGCCAAATCTTCAGAGTTTAGCTCGTTGTGGCGACCTTTGAAGGGATTAGCCAAATGAAAGAAAAAAGTGTAAACAGGCCACCGTTTGAGAAAAGTATGCTTTCTACATTTGATATTACTTAAAAGTATATTTTCCTCAAATGGCCAAGGCCACCATGGCCACCCCCTGCCTCCACCATGGCACCTGTTGGATAAAACTGCTCCCTCACTCACCAGGAGCCGTCACTGAGCCGCTTCCGACAAGAAGATAAAACACCTCCCTCTGTTCCGCTACAGCGCAACTCCTACCCACTTGAATATCTTGCACCAAAATCATTACGGTTTACCTGCTCAGTCCAGAAAAACACTCATCTGGAAAACTGCAAACAGTCACTGTTCAAATCCCTTGGGGACGTGGGACATGGGTTTGTCTCAATGACGTGTCCCTTGTCCTTGGCAGGAACTGAAGGTTCCATGATTCACAGCTCCACATCTTCTTCGGCCAGGGGAGAGTTACCAGACCTGGAAAACGTAGGTTGACCTTGGTAGGGATAATCTGGGCTAATCCACGTTGAATAGCTATTCCTTCCAAGGTTTTTCCACCCAGCAGCTTGGCAATAGTTCTGCGCCTGGTATCGTACATTCTTGGTTTCTCGTTCCCATACATGTTCTCAGCAGGCTGGTGAGGGGTCCGTTCTTGGTTAACGGTCACATAAGCGCGATAGGTCAACTCGTGGGGTCTATAGTCCAAGTTCGCACCTTCAGCTCTCTTTTCAAAGATCAGTAAAACTTGAATTACGAATGGTTCTGGTTTAAAAAACACATTTGTACTTGCTGTATCATCCAACTCATCCATGTACCTGGAAGTGTATCCCTCTTTTGGTCATAGTGCGGCGTTTAAAGATAACTTTCGGCTCAGACTTGAGTCCTCGTGGTACGCTGAGGGTTCTTCACCTCCTTTTTCATGTCTGAGGAGCTTTTCGTGGCTCTAAGGCCGCTCTGCAATATTAATGCTGCTGCAGAGAGGCTGAGCGCCATGCAGCTCTGCACGCCTTCTTTTGTGCTTGAACGTTTCACACCGGCTGATTTTCTCTCAAACCAGACGAACACGCGAGGACATGCAAATAATTAAAGAAGTACTAATGGGAGCAGCTTTTGGTAGATAAGTTGGTCAGAGGAAGGAGAGCTGGTGTGATGGAAGCATCTGTGCTGGCTTTGAACAGAACCTGGGGGGTTAAAGAGTGGAGCTTGAGCTAAACTAGGACTCCTGAATGACCTGCACAGACTGGAGGTCCACCGCAGAGCTCAAACAGAGAAGAAAAAGAAAGCTCAAAGAAAGTATTGATTGGCATTCTCAAACAAACAAATTACGACAGATTCTTGAGAGAAACAAGAAATTTGGTTAAAGACGACGCAAAGAACCAGCGAGTGGAAAAATACAAAGAATCGTATCAAGTAGCGCTCAGAGTACATGTTGGGAATGATACTCCACTGTTTCCCCTACCATTATACAAGCGGGGCACCTCGCCCTGTCAACGAGCGCCTTGCCTACCGAACTCGTAATTTCGTAATGTCAGCTGGAAATGTCGCGTTGACCCCAAACGTTAATCAGCTGTAGACATACACGCAGTGATTACTTTCTGAGAGTTCAATTAAAATCTACAGTGATTTGTGGGATATTTTGCTAACACACAGACTGGGATCACATCAACATTAAATGTCAAAGTTTTAAATAAAAGTCTTACACAATCTGTTTGCCCTCAGAATATGCGATGAGGACGAGTCTCGGATGCAAATGCACCAAACTCCAGCTCGGTGTCTGTAGAACCAACTGAGGTGGAACCAGTTTTGTATTTGCCGATATTGATTAGCTGAGCCAGCCATCTTGAATCAGAGTGAATCCATCCAGTGGTTCATGAGATATTTTGCTAACAGACACACGCTGTCACTCACATGAACACCATCATTTCACAACAGTAGCTAAAAAATTTTGTTTTTGTCTTTTTGTTGTTTAAACAGCTTTGTTGAAAAAAATATGAAGTCCACCCTGTCAGCCACTGAAATCGTAAAGATTAGAGACTAAAAACGTTTTACGAACACCAGATTTGTTTTCAAGAGCGGACGCTCGACAATAAATTAAAACCATTTTGTGCCTCTTTAACCTGAGACACGAAACTCGGGGTTAAAACAAAAGTTGTGAAAATGTAGAAACTTGCCGACAGAAGAGTCCTTATTGTGTTTTTAAAAAACAGTTTACGACTTCCTGATTTTTTTAACTGGCCCCGAGGAGGGGGGGGCACAGTGAGGGGCAATAAAATATTTTGTCCTTTTGTTTGTGTCTCTCAGGACGACTTCCTGTTCAGCGTGTCCATCGTCAGCGGCTTAACGTGCCTCATCTTGGCTGCAATCAAGGTCGTGCTCGGCAGAGTGCTCACCAGCCGAGCTCTTTTCACCGACGGTAAGTTTCGCCACCGTGCATGAAACGACCGCTTCACTGTTATCGTTCTTCAAAAAGCTTGACCTGCAGACTTCTCAGAGAAACCAACGCTCCGTGACATTTATGGACACATCGGTTGTTTTGTGTCCTCCTTCCAGGGTTCAACTCTCTGGTTGGGGGGGTCATGGGGTTCTCCATCCTCATCAGTGCTGAAGTGTTCAAGCACGAGCCAAAAGTCTGGTACCTGGACGGGACAATAGGGGTCCTCATGGGACTCATCATCCTCGCCTACGGAGTCAAGTAAGTGCAGATGGATGAAGGGTTTGCCTTGTGACGTGTGGTTCTGTGGAACAGTTGTGAACAACAAATATCTTACCTGTTGCAAATGGCTCTTTGAAGGATCTCTGCCGGGATAGTCTGAGCAAACCAAAAATACAGTAGTCCCTTCATACTTTGTGGTTTAATTTTTGCGGATTCATTCTTTTGCGGGTTTTCAACGTATGTACACATTGTTTCCTGGTGGCCTGGCCCGGTTAAGGCTCGGTTCAGATTGCGTTTGATTATTTAAAATAAACGATCCATGCCGCTCATTCTGGTGTTTGTCTCGCTGAAGTTCCCACAGCTGCGATGGGGAAAGACAGACCACACCCCCTCCTTTCTCTTTCTGAGGCATGTCTGTCACAGCCACAGAAAGAGAACGGAGAGGCGGAGGGTGGGATTAAGGGGGTGTTTGGAATGTCATCCCTGCGATAAGTGAGGGACCACTGTATATTTATCAGTTCATGCAAGAGCTGTGATGTAATTATTTCCACTGCTGTTTACTTCGCAGTACACATGGTTACCCATGGCAAGTTGTAGCACTTCCTGTGTCGGCTGGGGCATTTCCTGTAGGAGCTTCCTGTATCGCTCCCAGAACTAACCCTCTCCACACAGGAATGACATTTTAGGAGCCTGGAAACAGTCATTTTTAAATGGGTTGTAGAAACGCCACATTCGTGTAGACGGACAAACAACTTTTTGAAAACGATAACAGCCCCGCCTCTTAACCTTTGACCCCAAGTATGTCAGACAAAACAGCAGCTATATACTGAATGCTACAGATGCTACACGTCCTAGCTGCTCAAAACAGCAAAAACTTTGTTGATACTGTATTCTGTTATAAGACGAGGCAAGTTTAATAGTTTGTACCGAGCGTAAAAGTTTTAAACAGGTCTTGTTCGATGTGTTTTGTGGCACCATCATGGTGCATAGTCACCACAACACTGAGGCTGTTTTTGGCGTTTCCATGTGGATGAAAACATTTTTAGAAACAGCTCTGTGTTTATTTGGAAATGACAAATAAAAAGGTTGTTTAGTGAAAACTGCTTCCTGTGAGCGAGGCCTCGGTGGTAAATGGTCCGCACTTCACATCGGGGGCAGTGGGCACAAGTTCAGTGTCTTGCACAAGGACACTTTGGCATGAGATCAAAACCTGATACTCTGATTAGAGGGCAGACATAAACATTTACAAACGAGCGTCAATGAATTTTGGAGATTTGTCTGAAAAAAGTCACACTCCTCTTTAATCTCGGCTGCGTTCAGACTAGCCGTTAGCTCGTCAATCCATCCAGAATTTCTCTAAACTGAGGTCGTTCAAAGAGTTGCCTACAACGGGCAAGATATTTGCTCATACACTTACCACATGTAACTTTAGGAGAACTTTCTGCCATCGATGATTTATCGTTTGTGACCTACAAGTCCAAATTAACTCAGGCTCAAATAATCCCTTTAATTTTAATCCCTATAACCCCGGGTTTAACCCCCACTTCGTAGAGATCATGTGCTGAATCACGGAAACCTCTAAATCATGTGGTGTTTAATCCTGGTCCTCGAGGGCCACTGTCCTGCACGTTTTAGACGTTTCATCTGGTCCAACGCTCCTGATGTGGATCAATGAGTGAATAACGGGCGTCTGCAGAGCATGAGGTGGTGATGCAACCACTGAATCAGGTGCGTTGGAGCAAAGAAACTAATAAAACATGCAGGATGGTGGCCCTTGAGGATCAGAATAGGAGACCCCTGGTCTAAAACGTAGTGTCCCCCACTGAGGACCAGGAATCTCCAGACTATGAGTGTGATGATGGCACAAAGGTTTCAGGAACTGGCCCGTGTGATACTTTGTGGGTCATTGATCCAGAAACAGAAGAATGAGTTGATCTAACAGTTTAAGGAAACGCTGCCAAGTTTGTGCCTGTTTCACATACGACCTGTCATTCCTCTTTACTTTATACATGCTTCCATTAGGTCAAGTTAATGAACAGCAGGGGATACATATTCATTGTTATGCTGATGATACACAGTCATATTTGTCCATGAAGCCCAATGAATCCATTAGACTCCAAGCATGTCTTAAAGACAAAAACCTGGATGACCCTTAATTTTCTGCTTTGAAACTGAGGTTTTGCTTTTGGACCTGAGCATCTTAAATTGTGCAGTCCTGTTGTGACTTGGTGCTATATCCAGTAAATAAATTGAAAGGTGAAACGTTCGGCTCTGATCTGCCTCGTTGATTGGTCCTTGTTTCAAGTCTCATATAGAAACTTGGTCCCCACTCAGACATCTGGGTTCCCCCAGCAGCTCTCTACGACACTTTGGTTTTCTGCTCTTGTATCTGTAGCGCACTTTCATACCGATTGTTTAAAAGTAGATGATTTTTGAGATGGAGAGCTGTTTTAAGTGGCCACTTTGTGATCAATTTGTAAATATAAAAACAAAATACTTCTTTTGCTTCCTTGTTTACGGCCACACCACCCTAAACACGCCTGATCTCAGAAGCTAAGCAGGTTTGGTTAGTTCTTGGATGGGAGACAGTCTGGGAATACCAGGTGACGTAAGCTCAGTAGGGGCCATTGTGGTGTAGAGGTAGGGCAGCCGACTTGGGACCAGAAAGTCCCACGCTCAACTGCCCACATGTCGTGGTGTGTCTGAGCAAGACACCTAATCCCTAACTGCTCCCTGGGCACCTACATAGCTGCCCACTGCTCCACCTGGGTGTATCCCACATGTGATGATACAGGGAATTAATTTTGTCATTGTATAGAAAGATACAATGATGACAACACATAGCACTTTTTCCTCTGAGGTCTGGAGTACACTCCAGACTTCCTGTGTCTCCTGGACCCTCACCAGTCCCCGGTCTGGCACAGTTCTCAGACAAAGCTAACGTAGCTGAATGAAAGACGATCGCGCCTCACTGGCATGATGCTACCACCATACGTGCGCTTGATAAGGTCTTAGTTGTAGCGTCCCATGTCTGGTACGATAAACCCCCTGACCCGGCTATGGAACCACTGTGGTCCTGTCTCACCAAGACTCTGAAAAGACGACCTGTTATCCAGTGTGAAGGGGACAAAAGGTCCAACCAGAGGTCTCTGCCCATATTACAGCCTGGCTCTAGAAAAGCTCTACCAACCAGACCTTTGAGCATCTATTGAAAGTTTTCACTTATGGTTTAAAGGTTTTGCTGATCCGGTGAGCTTTTTAACCGTCTGCATCAAAGTGACAGACAGGGAATGTCCAACTGTCCTTTAGGCTCTCAGGTTTACTCAAAATGTTCTCCGTCTTCTGCAGGCTGCTGCTGGACATGGTCCCACGAGTCCGTCAGACCAGGAACTACGAACGCTTTGAGTGACGGATCACAGAGGAAGAGGGGGGAGGACCCGAGGGACTGCAGAGACCGTCTCTGAACAGAGACCGGGTCCTCAAGGCGTCGACGGAGGCGTCAGGATCTGAAGCGGTTGATGTGGAATCTGGCATTCCCGGTTCAGTGTACATATTATGTCCATGTGTCTCGTCACAGTAAGTGCTTCCTCACGCTTCCGTGGTACCCGACTCAGCTGTAGACCGAGACGAGCTCGGACCACAGAGACCCAGGAGTCCAGAACACCAGCAGAACCAAGGACTTGTGATGTGCCACGACACGGCAGGTTATGTTGCAACCAGGAGGCCTTTGTTTTAACTTTACCTGAAACTTGGGGTTCTGAAGAGGAAAACAAAGAACTGACTCGTCTGAACCAAACAACAGATTTATTGTCAGTTAGAGGCGCCTTTATACGGTCAGAACCTGCGCCATCTACTGACCAAAGGAGGCTACCGCAACATTTCAATTATTTGTTTATTTGATTGGACATGCAGCTGTGGGTGTCCTGAAAACGTATCAAAGACCCGAGTCGGTATTTTAGTCCTGGCATCAAATCATCAAGAAAGGACGAGGACACTAAACATCAAGGCTCACTGAAAGTTGAAGGAAGTTGTCTGGACCATTCTTCCATTGCCGTTACGTTGATCAGATGTAGAGCCAGGAGTTTTGTGCTTCTGTTGTTCTGAATGCTGGTTTTTACTGCCCCGACCTCTCGAGTTCTGCTGAACCAGAGGTCCCCTGTGTGGATGGGACCGGTCAGCAGCCTGTTAGCCGGTCACATGTCGGTCTTGTGCTGCGACACGGCTGTATACACGAACAGCAGGACACAGTCGGGCTAAATTAGTGCAGGGGTCTCTTCTTCTTGGTCCCGTGACGCATTTGATTCGGCTTCTCTCTGATGCCTGATTCTAAAGGTCCAGAACTGTCCTTGTACGTGATCAACTTTCTTCTCTAACCCTCACCCGTATCCACAATCTCATTCTTCAGTCACTGCCCAGAGTTCATGACCAGAGGTGAGGGGAGGAACGTAGACTGACCAGTAAACAGAGCTTTGTCTTACATCTCAGCTCCCTCTTCACCACAACGGACCGGCACAGAGTCCACGATACTGCAGACGCTGCACCAATCCTTCTGTCAATCTCACGTTCTGGTCTTCCCTCACGAGATGCTTAAACTTCTTCACTTGAGGCAGAACCTCACCCTCAACCCGAAAAGAGCAATCCACCTTTTCCGGTTGAGGACCTTGGCCTCAGATTTGGAGATCGATTGTGGAAAATGCCAAGACCCAAGTAGTTTCAGCAAACTTGTAGTGCGAGACTGAAAACGAGAACCTTTTACGACTTTGTTTTAGCGTCCAGACAGTTTCCATGGAACCTTTTAAGAGATCCAGTTCAACTAATCCCAACGAGGAACGGGGTCATGAAGCCGATTACCTTTTTTACAACTTATCACTGAGCTGCCAAAACAAATCAAGTCTGAGGTTTGAGGAGTTTCTCAGATTATTTTAGCTGCTTCGGTTCGCTGGGACCAGACCGAGGTGAACGGATCTCGTATCGGCTGCTGCTGGTTTTGGGACTTTGAAGGGCGGCTCCTTATTTTTGGCAGATCGAGCGCGTTGACGCGTGAAACAATGAGATGATAGTTTGTTTCGATTTGTTCGGACTGAAACTCCCGACTGTGATTTCATTTGAAGTTTTTGAAGAAACTTCTGTCTTAAAGTCTTAGGGGTGCACCGATAGATCAGCCGGCCGATTTTTCGGCCCCGATTTCCTTAATTTTGGGAGATCAGCCGATAATTACGAGCAACTGATTTTATTTTTGAGGTTTAACAACAATTGTCTGAACTTCATTAATATTTCAGAGCACTACCTCATGGTCAGTTCAAACAAGTTTGAGTTGTTTCTAGGATCTTGTTCAAGCGTATGTTTTTAAATAAAATAAGATGGAAAATTAAAGGTGCATTGTAACACCTGACGGTGTCGCTTATAAAACTAAATCGGTATCGGCCAGAAAACTTCAATTGGTGCACCCCTAGTGTTTTCCATTTTTATACACTTTTCATCACCTAGGCCTGTCACAATGATAAATTTAGTTGGGCAAATGTCTCAGAAATTATTGCGATAAACGATAATATTGTTTGAAATTTGACAATAATTAGTAATTATTGTCAAATTTAAGAAGAAATGTTGGTTATTTTTGTGTGTAGTACCTTTTATTTACCACCACTTTTTTAGAGACAAAAAGAAACGATACAGCCAATAAATGAAAATGAGGTCGATGATTTTCATTTATCGCGTCAGGCCTAATTAATCGCATGATAAATGAAAGTGATCAACCTCATTTTCATTTATTGGTTTCTTCATGTCTCTTTCTACTGAACACACTGGATGACAAAAGGCTCAACTCTGGTTCTTCACTGACCCTTCGCTTTCTCTTTTCTTTAAAACATGTTTTTAACGATCCAAAATCATGTTTTTGGATCGTTAAAAACAGCTAAGCTACGAGCTAAGCTAACAGACCGACCTCGGGGGGGGGAAAAAACTCCCGTCTTGTCGAATCTACGATATTCACTGTTGAAACTCGTGCCTTCGTGTAAAAAGTTGTTTTTCTCTGCAAAAACAAGCTGAGAACTTGTTTACTGATTTGTTTATTAAAAGCTTTGTGTGAAAAATGCTAAACTCAAACCACAGCGAGCGTCCGCCATTTTGAGAACCCAAGAGACAGCCCATGTCACGTCAAGGGGCCTCCCTCCCATTTTCTTAGACACGCTGCTCGCTCCCTCACTATCATACTGCCATCCAGTGATCAAAAAAGGTACTACACAGAAATTAATTTAATTTTCTTCTTAATTTTGACATTATTGTCCATCACAATATTTTCTGAGACAATTAATTACCCAGCAAAATTGTTATCGTGACAGGCCTACGATTAATTGGTTTATCGTATATCGTGGTAGGCCTGTCATCACCCCAGGTCAAAGGTCAAACAAGAGCATTGCTGTAAAGAACTCGTGTTGTGATGTTTGTGGAGTTTCACGTGCATCTGTGGCCGTGATGTTCAACAAAACCTGAGCCGTTTGTCACAGAAAAAATTTATTTAAAAATAAAGTTGTATCCCTCTTACTCATGACGAACAAACAGAAAGCTGTGGTGATTCAGATTCTGGATGCAGACGGAGCTTCGAACCCCCCGAAACGTAAAAAAGGTCTGATTAAAAACATTCAGCGCTGATGTTAAAGATATGATCTGTGTCGAACACAAAGTGAAGGAGGCTTTGGCTGCTGCTGCGAGTCACGTTAATCCAATCGATCTAATTACCGTTAACTCGTGTCATTCTTTGTCCGAACACGAGCCGCTGAATTTAGGCCAAAGTCTCCGATAAAATCCGACCTCGGCCCGAACAAATCGAACTAAAAACACAAAAAGGCACATTTTTTTTGTACATTTAACTTGGCAGCAGATGACGAGGGAACATGACGATTTTAGATTTGTGCAAATACAAAACGATAACATTGGACTCAATAAGATGGCACATTTGTCTCTTCGCTTTTAAAGAGGCGAGAAATAATAATAAAAAAAGATTCTAAACCCATTTAAGATCAAAGAAAATCAAGTTTGGAACCAAAGTTTTGACTTTAAAAGCTGCAGACAAATCCTGATTACTTAAAATCTGAACCGCTTTCTTAAATTACCCTCCATAAATAAAAATAAGACAAAAACCCCCAATTTAAATAAAAACAAACAATTCCAGCAGAACACAAAGGTTTGTATACAAAATAAATATAAAAGAACTCGTACAGTGTCACGAAGATCCCGTTAAGCCTCTGCAGATCCATGAAGTTAGTGCATTATTTACGGACAATGTGAAAATGAAGAGCTGCGTGACCGTCTACAACATGACGAGTGTTTGTGCTGCCATGTTACTGGCCCCATGTCCTTTAGGGGGAGGGGGAGGGGGGGTCCCAGTGAATTCTGGGAGTTTCTGTACAGAGCAGAAGAACGAGACGTTACAGTGTAGAACTGGGCTCCTCAGGCGTGTGTGCTTCCAGTGCAAAGCTACCTAAACGCAGTGGTACCCAACCCTGGCCCCTGAGGAACTCCATCCTGCATGTTTTCCTTGTTTCCCTGCTCCAGTGATTTAATTACTTAATCATGCTCTGAGGGAGTCTGTTAATCACCCATTAATTAAAAGCAGGCGTGTCTGAGCAGAGGAACAACTAAAACATGCAAGATGGTGTTCCTCAAGGACCAGTGTTGGGAACTCCTGAAGGATAATGTCAGATTTGAGCAGGGGTGGTGGTGTGGATGGAGTGTCAGTCATTGTGGGGGCTGTACCAGGAGATGAGCAGAAAGGCAGCTGCTGCTGATTTAAAGTCCAACTTCCTCTCTTGATTCAAGTAAAGTCCCTCCTGGACTCGTGGCGCCCCCTGCTGGTGAATCTGAAGGTTCATGTCGTTTGGGGGGGGGGCGGAGTAATAAATATGAAGAATAAATGAATGTTTCTTTCCTCCTTGCACATGCCTGTGCGCTATAGGCAGTCCTTGCAGAGCGCCACCTGGCCCTTCATGTAGTCGCGGCAGGGGCAGACGCGCCGCAGCGACTGGTGCGCCCCCGCGCAGCTGAACAGCAGCAGGTCTGACTGGAAGACGCAGTGGCGGTGCGTTTCGCTGTAGGCCGGGACCACCGTGTCGGCGCTGGACTCCACCGTCTGACAGTCCACTCCAAACCTGACACAAACACAGAGTTCAGTGAAACTGCTCCCCCCGGTGGCCAGAGGTGGTTCCTGCAGCCCAGAACACAAAAACCTGTCGAGCTCCTAAAGAGTCGACAGGTTTGAACCGACAAGCAACTGGGGGTGGTAGTAGCTGAGCGTCTCCAAGGCCAGCACCTCAAAATGTGGCCCTGGCGGCCATCTTGAATTCAACTTTGTCTCTTTAATTTAAACTGACCGGAAAAAACTAATCAAATGGAAATTATTTGTGTGTGTGCGTGTGCATGTGAATCTGTGTGTGTCACCTGGCCAGGTCCTTGTCCTTGTTCAGGTGCTGGAAGAAGGACGGTTCACAGATGAGCTGCGCCTCCTGACACACCTGCTTACACGTCTGTCCCGGCTCGGCCATCTTGACCTGCAGGACACTGAGGGGGGGCCACATGACCTGACCATGACAGAAGTCCTGCGGACACACAAACAAACGTCAGTCTACAGAGGGACAGCGACAGAGGAGCTCGTCCTCCAGGGACGTCAGGATTATTCATCTGCAGCTGAACAACCTGAGATTAATATTCCTCCTGCAGAGGAGGAGCTTCACCTGGTTCTCGATGAAGGCGTTGACTCTCTGCAGCATCCCCTCGCAGGTGAACTCGTAGGGCAGGTAGGGCTCGATCTGAGCGTGAAAACAAAGAACGTTAGGTTAGCCGTCGGTGCAGAGGAGGACGCACGAGTCGCGGAGCGCCACAGGTCGGGGTTTACCTTCTGGCCGAGGATGGAGCGGATGGCACGCTCCACCTCCACGGTGTTCTCGATGTCCACCGTCCACACGTGCGGCTGACCGATGTACACCTCGGCGTACGGGTGCTGGGAGGTGAGCTGCAACACATCAAGAGCAGTGAGCGTGAGGACGGGAAGAGCAAGACGGGAAACGGGACGCGTCCTCGTGAGGACGGGAAGAACAAGACGGGAAACGGGACGCGTCCTCGTGAGGACGGGAAGAACAAGACGGGAAACGGGACGCGTCC